AGATCAAGGTAAAAGCCCAAAACAAGTTGAGAAAAGAGCCGAAAAACTTATTGATCGAGACGTCCACACGCCCGATAACATGTATTGCGATTAGATTGCGTGACTGTATGAGAAGCTGTTATCCTGGAAAAGGAGAACAAATTATGGATCACAGTCCTCTTTTTCTGAATTACAAGAGAAATATTCAAGCTATTATCAAAGTAACTTTCAGATTGTATGCTTTGATTCCTGTAGGATACTCAAGGTAAAATACTATACTGCTTGGTAACCTCTCGGTCGAATCATGACGGTCGAATCATGACCGTCGAATCATGTCTAAAAATCAGGGTGTATACACCGCACTGAAATCAGCTGTAACACATGCATATCAAGAATAGAGCGGTTTTCACTTGACTGTCGTAAAACCAAAACCAAAGTAAATACACTAGCCAACCAAAGGGCGTAGTAAAACCAAAACCAAAACCAAAACCAATCCCTTTCGACAGTCAAGTGAAAACCGCTCTATCTAATTAACTACACGTGAAGAACTGGCTTTACACCAATATAATCTAATAGAGCGGTTTTCACTTGACTGTCGTAAAACCAAAACCAAAGTAAATACACTAGCCAACCAAAGGGCGTTGTAAAACCAAAACCAAAACCAATCCCTTTCGACAGTCAAGTGAAAACCGCTCTAAATAGAAATAACAAGAAACTAAAATTCTACTCAATATTCAAAAATGATTGCTTGAACATAATCACCAATATAAATCACAAAAAAACATTGAATAAAGACAGACTTGGCAATCATCGCTTACAAATTGAAACGGGCAGACATACAGTACCGAAAACTCCAGAAAATCTTCGAATTTGCCCCTTCTGCCACTTAAATGAAATTGAACACGAATTACACTTCCTATTCAATTGTAATCTTTACGATAGTCTTCGATCTAACTTTCGCAGAAACATGAGTAATAGATACCCCCCTTTTAATAATTTTGACAACAATAAAAAAGATTTTCTTTATATTTAACAATGTCGATCCTCATATCTACAGACTGACAGCTCCTTACATACAGTTATGTATGGAATATAGACAAAAACTTGTTCTTTATTTAAGATTCATAAGTAATGTAGGTAATACCACGTACTCACGTGGGAATACTGAATGCTGTAGTCCACTAAAGTTGTACAATAGCACGGCAATGATCTTTAAATTATATTTGATTTGTTCATAATATCTGCCATATATCTTCTAATTATGCAGGTCCGGGCCCTAAGCATCGGCATATTTCTCTTCCCGGGGTTTCGGTGATGGCCTACAACAACGTCAGTTTAAAGTGCTTGGTTGAAATAGATCCTGACGAGTGCGCAAATTCAATGAAATTTCAGTGGTTTTTTAACAACAGCTCAACGCCATTAACAAGTGGTGAAAAGTATGATATACAAGAAAGGAGAACTAACAGCAGATGCAAAATAGATTTCATTCTCACCATAGCTAATGTTACTGATGATGATGAGGGAAAGTATAAATGTCAGTGGATCTGTCAAAAGGACGACCCCAGTTACCTCAATTCCACGTCTTTTATCCAGTTGAACGTTTCTACAGGTATAATGTTTCCTCTACAAGATTTCTCTTTTGACTTCTCCAAATTTTACTATACACATTGAATGATCTTTTAAACAATCATGTACCTAAAAAAGGTCTTCTCTAAACGCAAGCTCGAGCGGTTTTCCAAGACATGGATCAGTAACAAGTGCGATAAAAAAGTCAATTAAGTCAAAAACTCGTCATTGAGTGATAGATCACTTGAATGCGTTTAACAATTGTACTTTTTATTTTTTCAGAACCAACAACCGAGACCACTACCGGGAAAACACCATCGCCAGGTAAAAAACAGCAATTCCTTATAATCAGCAACGTCAATTTTCGGAAAATATTTGTTCGGAAGACGATTTGAGATCTAGAATTTTCGGAACATTTGTTGTACAATTTCTTGCTTTTCTGCCTCTCCTAGGATAACATAGTATAACTGCCCATTTTAAACGGATTTTTACCCAAAAAAGTTCACCTGGAATTTTCGGGGGCCTTTTCTGGCTGAAATTTTCGAAAAGGTAAGTTCTGGTTGCTATAATTTTCGGATCGCTAGACTTTCAACTAGAAAATCCGAACAGATGAAACATTTTGAGGATATAAAAATGTGCCTTCATCTACCGTTTAAATACTAAAATACTTTTAACAATGCTATGTTAAGTGGTTTTGAACTTACTTTTGTTGGAGGCCCCTGTATAACGCAAACACTGGCTAAAGTTACCTCAATTAGCCAGTCACAACGAATACGAGATGTGAAATGAGTAAACATTCACATTCTAAAGTTACAGACACCTTGTGTAAAAAGAGGTCTAAAAAAGGTCTTTTCTAAACGCAAGCTCGAGCGGTTTTCCAAGACATAGATCAGTAACAAGTGCGATAAGAAAGTCAATTAAGTCAAAAACTCGTCGTTGACTGATAGATCACTTGAATGCGTTTAACAATTGTGCTTTTTTTTTTTTTTCAGAACCAACAACCGAGACCACTACTGGGAACACAACATCGCCAGGTAAAAAAAAAGCTCTTCCTTATAACCAAGGGCACCCAACGTCAATTTTCGGAAAATATCTGTTCGGAAGACGATTTGAGGTCTAGAATTTTCGGAACATTTGTTGTAAAATTTCTTGCTTTCCTGCCTCTCCTAGGATTTTCGAACATCTAAAACATGGTATAATTGCCTATTTTAAACGGATTTTTACCCTAAAAAGTTCACCTGGAATTTTCGGGGGCCTTTTCTGGCTGAAATTTTCGAAAAGGTAAGTTCTGGTCGCTATAATTTTCGGATCACTAGACTTTCAGCTAGAAAATCCGAACAGATGAAACATTTTTAGGATATAGAAATGTGCCTTTATCTACCGTTTAAATACGTAC